CACGAACCGAACAAAGAATTCCTCACCCGAGGAAAGGAATAATCACCCCTGCGCGGTATCTCGCCGGTTAATCGTACGCTCCTTGCCATGCATAATTAAAGGCAATTCGCGCTTCCACGTAATAATCGGACTCGCGTGGATGCGCTCCGAAGCAGCACGAGCCGAACGTCTCGCCTCGTCTTTCACGCAGAAACCGGAAGCGCGTGTCCGACGGAACGTCCAACCGACTCTCATCGTCCAACCTCTTTTCTCTTTCCCATCGGACCGCCTTACGCGTCTTCATCCGCGGATTTCCCAACGAACCTGTTGCCCGTCACTCGTGACTCGTCGCTCGTATCGACTATCGGTTTCGCCCGAGATCGATCTGTCGTTTCTAGCTCGCGCGCGCGTTCGCTCCAAAGCGTTAGGAGGATCGTTATAGCTCTCGAGCAGAGAGCGTCGGTAAATCTGCCGAACGACCGACTGGTTTGTCTACGCGAGAACGCTGGATTACTACTTGTCGGCGCTATCGACCATCGTCTGTCCGATTATTAATATCACCGTCCGACCGCGCGAACGCCGCTCGAGTAGCTGGAAGATCGTAACGCGACACCTTCTAGCAACGCCTCTCGGACACGGCGCAAGATTTATTCCATGACACGCGGTATAAACTCGCGAATAAAGAGGAGACTCCGTCGCTCGGTTGCGAAACGCGAAATCAAACGAATTCGACCAAACTGCGAAACGATAACCGCACGGAGATTTACGAGACGCTTGATCGGCTTCCGAATCATGATGATCCGAACGCCCGCGTCAACGACGCTGCGAGTCACGCGCGTTTCCCTAAACCAGCGTACGACGTGGCTCTTTGCGTTTCACTCGACCATATCTTTTCTTATCGACGGCCTCTCGGCGTTCCACGAAGTTTCCAGCGTATCCCGAAATTCCAGCTGTACAAAGTATCGTAGTCGACCGACGCGAATCTAGCGTCACGTTTGCTTTGCCAAAAGACGTTGCGCAACGCAGCGAGCTGCCTCGTCTTTCCACCGCCGATTCCAATCGAGCGTCTCGCTTCCGCGAGCAAAAATTGGACCAGCCAGAATCTACCTCCAATTATTTCGCGGCCGATTGGAATCATGACTACGCGATTGGAAACGCGCTAACTACTCCGTCGTTAGGGACGAGCCGTGCGTGCGACCGTGCAATCTCGTTTCGTCGCGCGGCAATCAAAATTTCGCCGATATAGAAAGTAGAATCTAATCCGACGCGCGATACTCGAGAGAAAGAAACGACGCAGTCGTTGCACCGAATCGATCTACAGCCGGGTATTTTTCGCCAGGAAAAAACGATCAACGTGGAGACATCGACGATCGTCCACACGCGCGTCCAAGAATCGTCGTACGAGGAGAGGATTCTTTGGGAAACGACGAACGAGAACCGAGCGATCGCACGCTGCAAATCAATTTCTTCGCGTTTCTCTTCGTCCGCGTGTTACGTCGATGGAAGAAACGAAATCGCCGATCGAATAGAATCGCCGTTTCGCTGTTCATTCCGCGTCGATCGAACGTGCTTTTCTTCCTTTTTTTTTTTCTGAATATTAATTATCCGCTTGTCGCTTCGCCTATCGGCATGATTAACGGTTACGCGTGCTCGTTTCATTATCCCGGTTAATAATCGTTACGAGAAGGATGCTCACGAGGCGCTTAGTCGCGCTTCGAAATCAGCTAGCAACCTTTTTCGAAAGTTTCTGATCGATTCGTCCACGTTCTAACGCGGATGATCTTTACCGATTACTCGATCATCGATGGCTCAGTGAACGACGCCCTAGCGTTGATCGTCCGCCATCGTGAGTCGTACGCTTTCTTCGGGTAAAATGATTCTTGACAAAAGAAGCATAAGACGTGAAGTACGTTGTTGTATTACTTTCATGTTGTTTATTAATTAAAATTCAGTAGTAATTTAGTTTCTGCCATTCTAACAAAACGTCACCACCATTCGCCAGATCTTTATTTTACGTTAATAATAATTAATGTTTAATTATAATAATATACAGGGAGAAGGAGGAGCTGTTTACAGTTTGCGCGCATTCGTGATCGTTTTTACGTTTCGTTTCGATTCGATTCATCCTATGCGTATTACGCGTGATTTGCGTACGATCTTTACATGCTTTTCGTCGTCGGCCTCTCTACCTTTCTTTCCTCTTCTCTCGTACTTCTGCCACTCGTTCTCTTTCTCTCCTTTCTCTCGGACACGCATCCGCGCGCGCGCACGCACACACACACACACACACACACACACACACACACACACACACGCACACACACACACACACACACACACACACGCTCTTTCACGCTCTCTGTTGCACTTTTCACGCGCGCATCCTTGTGTCCTTGGCATAAAATTTCACGCATATCGCTGAAAACCAGCCGGAAATCGAAGAGCTCGATCACGCTAACGAGTGACAGTCGCCGAAATTCGGAATCGATGCGATGGCTGGCGGAAACGGTCGAGACGCGGGTTAGTCTGCGATTTTCTCCGAAGAATAATCTTCGTCGCGTGTCACGCTCTTCGATTCCGTCCGTTTCCCTTTAGCGTCGTGTTAGCAAGACACTTTGTTCTATCGTTTCTTCGCACACATCGTTTCTCTCTATTTACAAAACGGCGATTGAACGCAACGCCTCGCGTATCCTGTCGCAGTTTGTCGTAGCGCGGCGTGTCGAGCCGGAAAACAACGCCGATTCGTTGCACCAATAAAATCGCGTACGTTTAGACACGGTGTCCGTACGATACAACGATCCGTGATCTCTATCCTTTGCCGTCTTCGGTGAAACAAACGATCGAACAACAAGAGGCAAACGCGACCGAACGCGAAAGGATACGCGCCGCTATACAGACAACGATCAACAAAACAACCGTACAAACGATTTCGCTCGACTTTGAAACGCGAAATCGTTGGTCGGGGTGCGTTTTCTTTCGCTTCCGTTCGTCCTCGCGTCAGGCCGCTTCGTATCGAAATCGCGGCCTCGCGATGATAGCCGAGGCCGG